ATTTAATATATATTCTTTTATTATATAAAGATATATTTATTAAAGTGCTAAATTTAATCTAAAGCTATATTATTATTTGTCTAGCTATATATAAAGGTCTTAATTACTTAAGAGTTAGGAAGATCATATTCAGTATACTAAGAAGCAAGATGATTAATACCTTGTAAGATTAAGAATAATAGTAATATAAAGCTATTATTATACACATACTTAATCGCTGTTGCTTATTCATGATTGCCAGGTTAAAGCTGTTTATCTCGACCAGATTAATCTGCGTATGTGACTACTATATTGCTGTAGATGACTCTCATCATAAAGCCTGTCTTATTAAAGTTGTAGAAGTCACAGTCTTGGATGCCATACTTCATACGCATGTTAAGAATTAGCTGAAACCACGCCTTTATCTGGTCAGGATCTTTACAGAGGGCTCTCTGGAAGTCGTACGCACGTGAAAAACGTGTCTTGAGCTCAGGGCGGCGTTGTACAAAGTTGTATAGCCACTGCTTGCCAACAGGCTTCGCGTGACGCGTCTTACGAAGGAGGTCGGCCATATCTCGTACGTTGTTGATCTGGGGTGGGAATCCTCACAAATCCAGGTCGAGGATATATTGTATAAGCGTCTCTTCTTCAGTCAGGGTCAAAATGTGTCAAGCATTACGCTCTTCAGCCTTTGAGGTGCAGCCCTTTATACAATCGCGGAGGGTAGTTTGAGGGACGTTGTACGTTTTTGCAGCACGTTAGATCGACATTTCTTAGTTAGTACAGATAGCCTGGATAGCAAGGAGAATTCTGGCTTCCTGAGATTGAGAATTCATTATGTTGTTGTGTTATAGTAGCGTACAATAGTTCGAAGGTTGTGATTTAGAAGAAAAGTGCGTGAGACGATTGTATGCGCGGGACGATTATGAACCACGTTATAATTAAGAGTTTTCTTCTTTTTTCTTAATTATTACTACTATTATTACTTAGCAATAGTAGTAACAGCCATAGTAATAATAGTAGCCTTTACTACTATAGTAATAATAGTAATCATTATACGTAAGTAAATAAGTACTGTGTGCATATAGTATATAGCTAATATATGTATCACCTTTAGCTGCCAAGCGTAAAGCATGTAAGTATAAATCCGCTATAATACTTATGCGTATTATATACTTATTGCGTGCGCTGTAGTACTGACTCCCTTAGAGAACCGCTCCGCCGATTTTACTCGGCCTTAGTGCCAGCATTACGTCCGCTGTCTCGAGCGTGAGCCTAAGACGGTTTTCTTTTGTGAATGCTGGCAATAAGAAATGTACTTATTGTCAGAGTAAGAAGCACGACTGTGTTCCGGTGAGTTTTCTAACGCGTCTTGCGTGCGTTTGCTATGCGTTTCCTGTGCTTTACGCCTGCACTTAATTTTATTTAATAAGTTTTTAAGAATAGTAATTTAATTTTTTATTAAGTATATTATTTTTAATTTTATATAATAATTAGTAAATATTTAAAAAGTCTTTAAAAGCCTTAATTAACTTTATTAAAAAAGTTAATTAAAGTATTTAACTAGTGTCTTTAATAAGCTATAATAAAGGGTATTAAAAGGGTTTAGTTAGTTATGACGCCCTGATCTCTGTGACCAGCGTGTAATCTTAAGAACAGCTATCTAGAGTCTTAAATAGGTAATTGGATAGGTCTACTGGTAACAGGAGACGATTTCTGCACGGATATCATACGGCGAGCAAGTTCATGGAATCCCCTATACGAATTTGGTGGGCCATTCCATGGCCCTGCTGCGGAGCTGAAAATTTGAATTGGCCGGATGGCTCTAACAGTCTGCCGTAGACTAGGCGCTTAGCCGGATGTAGTTTCGCACCCTCGGCACACACGTCGAGTGCGATACGGTGAGAGTGAAAGGGATGTGTAAACCGGGTGTCATCAGACGCTGCTTTTTAAACCCTTTTCCCATTTTGGTAAATGTGAGTTTTCTTAGGAAGAGTGACGCCAAGCCCAAACTGTGATCAGCGCTTCCAGTGGCTTCCCTTCGAATTCGCCCTCAAGCTGCTAGGCAAACCTGTGCCTCCAGCAGAACTGCACCCAATCTCCGCCAACAAGCTCTACAAGCCTCTTGCGGACTCACCAATCTCCTACTCTGCAAACACTCGAAATATTTCGAATTCACCCTTTCCGCCGCTTGAAAACGCTACCTTCCTTCCTTTCCCTCTGACCCTACCTACCCTACCTTCATATTTCGACTGCTGCACGCAAGATAACATGGCAGAACCGATTTCTATGGTTGCAAGCTCGTTCGCAGTCGTTGGGTTGGCTGATGTCGTGCTACGGGCAAGCGACCAGATCTATCAGTTTCTAAACGCAGTTAAGGATGCACCGGCGGAAATCGAAAATTTGAAGAGTTCTATTCACGAAAATATTGTCCTTGTGCAATATTCAAAGGGTTACTGGGAGGAATTAAGGCAACTTCTCTCCTCACTGAATCCATCTACTGTCACGTCTTTGAGCAAAACCCTACCTCATCTTAATTCTGTCTTGAAGGCTCTTCACCGCGAGTTATCGAGACTGAGTACTGTGACAAAGCGTTACAAAGGACCGTCTAAGATATGGGGAAACATTAGATTTGTGTTGGATGAACAAAAGATCCAAAGATCTTTACAGAGACTAGAGGGATTGAAGTTGAATCTTGTTGTTGTGTTGATATATATTACCAGGTCTGTTAACTAATTTATCAATGTTCTTATCTTACTAACCTAAATACATGTAGAGAACAAGACCTTCTTTCTCACAACAAAATCAAACACAACATACAAGAAGAGTTTCAACAAATCAGAGCAAAAATAGAGTCCAAAATAGAAAAAGTAGGACAACAGATAGAAGAGATCTATGAAAAGATCCAAAACCAGCAAATGACTGTGGAAGATATTACTTCTTGTTTGAACAGAGAAGCAGCTGTGATTAAAAAAGATATTATTGATACTAATCAGAATATCTTTCAGCAGTGCGATAAGACTCGAGTTCAACTAAACCAAGAGATTGCTAATGCTGTCAACACAATCTGTTCCAAACTTGACAATCTACCACAAGAGATAGCTCGTACTCAGACCGTCACAAGAAATAGCAACCGTAAGATTTGGTTTCATGGAAACGGTAGAGAAGATTTCTTATGTTCGTTACTTCTTCTACGGCCTGGGTTCAAACAATCTATATTAAGAATCCTCTCTCAGCAAAATGAGCTAGTTTCAGCTCAAGACCTTTATTGGCTTCAATCCGAATTTGAGAATCTTGTGTCATCCGCTACTCAAGAGGTTGCGACTATGTCGCCTAGCTCCACAGCTACTTCAATTGACGATTGGATTTATCCACAAAGACGGACCTTATCTCTCTCAGATAGGGATGCATCTAAGACCACATTGTTCCACGAAAAAGATCTGGGGAATCCACATTAACTGATGAGAGGGACGAATTCAACAAGAATTTACAGAGAAAGCGACGCAGACTAAACTCTCAATCATTCTCATTCGAATTACCTATCGGTACCCTTCAGATAATGATCCTACGCCCAACCAATACCTTAGCAGATATGTCCCGTCCAGACAAAGCTCTTGAGGTTGGCTTCTCCTTTCTACCACCATCTGGTATATGTCCTATATCAGTCCGTGGACACTTCTGGAATGATGTGGACCTTTGTCAAAACCCTTGTCTGTACGCACAGTTGAATGCTTTTAATATTCAGGAAGAAGATGAGGAGATGTTCGAGGTTCTTAGTACGGGAACGCTAGAAGAAATCGATACTGCATTTCGACTGGGTAGACTAAACCCTTTTGCAACAGATGAAACGGGGATGAACTATTGTCTATGGGTAAGTATTTCCAGTGTTACTACGTGCTGATAGAGTGACTGTGATCTCTGATTAAGACATTACACAGACTGCAGGGTTTACCTGTCGAACAGATGTAGTTCAATATCTCGATAGTCAGGGAATAGGGGTTTTGGGCTTAAGGTACGTCTACAATAATATATCAGTGCAATATCTATACTTAATAAACTTTAGAGACAGTAAGAGCATTCTTTCTGGTCTTTTTCGCACAATATGGATGACAGCTGCTCTTATCTCCCACGACCAGAACAATATCGCTCGCATTATGGAATGTTGTTATTGTTAGGGCTCAACTGGTTAAGACAAATCTCAACTAGAAGCTGGGTCCAAGTAGGTTGGTTGGGTAGAACAGGAAGTGCAGTGGACAATACTAAGATGTCTTCAACTTAGGTATGAGCTGATAACATGAGTTGACTACGAAGACTATGAAACTATCTGGGAAATGAGCGTGCTTATATAGAGTAGAAGATTCGTGCTCAGAGTTGCCCATCCTGATCACCTATGATCATTGCTCATGCGTGCTCATCCTGATCACCTCTGATCATTATGTTGTCCAGGTCTAACCGTGTGTGCAGTACAGGGTCCAGTCCTGTCCAAGTCTGTCATAGTTCCTTCGCAGAGCGCTAGGCAGCTCCGTAGTGCCTGTCTGTGCTTGGCGTGTTCACGTGCTGTAACAGTTATGAGGTCGTGGAGTACTTGAAAGAAAAAGATGCCATTGGTTTATCATTAACAGACGACATTTTAATAATCCCAGAGACGGAGCCCATCACAGATTATGTTTCAGACAGTATCATTAGCATGACAAGACATTTTTTCAAGACTCTAAAAGAGGAAGGATATGACTTTGATCGAAAAATTGCTGGTGTAAACGTGCTATCGATGTATGAGGCACTTAACTATTTCGCGGCGAAGGGGGGACACAATACCTGATAGACCTTCTTTCGGAATAAGTTTTAATCTATTCTTTGATCAACTTATACGAGAACTAAGCAAACCATCTCTAACCAATGTAGAAATGCAAAAATGACTGGAAAATTTCTGTAAAATTTGAAACTTCGAGAACCAAGACTAATTTATAAGAACGATGATATCCCTGTCCGCTTTACATTGAGAGCCTTTCTGTTCGTCATACTCATCTGTCCGGTGAGTTCACCGTTATCTTCTCCGGTGTCTCGACTACCAATGTGGCATCTCTCAACCATAAACCGATGGTCCAAGGCTTGATCGCTGGCCACCACCCCTGAGTAGTCCCGATATCGTGTGATGGATCCCCCTTGCCCGCTGGCTGTTGCACGTCAACCCAAACAAGGCTGGAATTTGGGCTGTATAAATAAGTGAGAGTCTTGAGCCAACCGTTGCTACTAGTCAGCTCCTCCTCGCCAGCTTGCTCACTTGCCGGCACCGGTGGTTGCACCAGATGAGCGTCGAGGCCCACGTACGGCATGATCTTTGTGGAGAAGGGCATTGAGGGCACCCAGCGAATCGATTTCAGTTGCACCACGAGGAACGGTATCGTTGCAGATTCGGTAGGTGGGAATACCTCAACCTTCAACGATCCCGTAGTCGCGGTAGGTCCGGACTGACGCGAGAAAGAAAACCGCGCCAGGTGTTTAGGGATCCCCCAGTTCTTCCGACCTGGGGCTCACGTTAACCAGAAGCCTGATGATCGTTATCAAATAGACAATGGGGGGGATGCTCCTGACCATTGTAGCAGGTCTCTTTTTGACTGACATAGATCCTCGTGATCCGACTATACTTCTTGGTAGAGCCAGGCAGGTCGAAGGAGCCTGGAAGAAGCACTAACTCATCGTAACTCCCTTCCAGACGTCACAGCATCAGTAAAAGGGTTGTGCGGGCCATCGCCATCGTCCCAAAGACATACTGACCTACTGGCGTGTCTGAGTATCGTACTATCTGAATCATCCCCACCCCTCCTCTAAATCTTCCTGCTTCCTGAAGATGCGAGAAGGAAGCGGATTGGGCTTCCAAAGGCGCATAGACGTTGTCCGGTAGCGTCTCACCACCACTGAACATCATCCAATACACTTCGCATTTGCAGGTCCAAGGCGCTGGAGCCTGTATGAAGGACTTGTTGCCGATCGACATGATATGCTTGTTGTGTGTACGAAATTGCAGACTGCCAGAAAGGAAGATAATGCGGGAGCTCTGGATGTATGTTGGGTCTCCCAAAAATCAAGCCACCGGAGGGGCCGGGAGGCCCGGAGCTAGGTGACGGAAATAGTGAGATTTCCGTCCCACACCACTCTATTACTTCTATCTTCAAAATGGTATAGGAAGACCATTTCGCTCATTTACGGCAGCTACTCTTTTGGGCATTGTAGTAATTGCCTTATTGATCTCCTCTAGAGTGATTTTATCCCATTTCTCCTCAATTGCTCGCCGCAACTCCTCTGGATCAGTAATAAGGCCTCGATTCTTAAGCCTCTGCTTCAACAACCTCTAGATGCTCTCTATAGGGTTCAAATCAGGTGATTCTGGGCAATTGGCTTCCTATTAGATCTGTGATGGATGATGCATTTCCTCTACAATGGCGCAGGAAATGCATGTGCCAGCCACATACTCAGGAGGCAACGCCTATGACTGACTCGCGGCAGCAAGCAAACTCCTGCCGTAGGGCGCTTGTCAAAGCGTGTAAGCTATCCGGACGGATTACGAATAGAGAGGTTTGCCTTACCCGATTAGGGAAGCCTAAACTTCACTATATAGTAGAAGGCCGGATTAGGAACTATAAATGCTCTGTGGCCTATAGCGTGGCCTACACACATATAGGCCTTACCCGCTGGCATTAGAGTATATGTATCTGTGCATGGCTACATTGTAGATAGATTCTCTAGCTTTCGTTTAGTAATCTATAGACTATTAACTTGTTCTAGTTTTAAGCTATTATAGTAAACGAAAGCTTAATACTCACTTGTTATCCTAAAAGACGATACAAAACTCTCTTATCTGTAACACAACTATTAGAGAACTCATCTAGGGTTATTTGACTATATAAGAAAGTCGTTGCTCTAGAAGTAATGCAAGGCCTATTTGATATAAACACCCTGTACTATACAAAGGTTTAAGAACTATCAAGTCAAGATGATTTGTGATCAAACAGAGAGAAGAGAGAGTAGCAAAGTTCGCTATCCTTTCTTAAGTAATCAGAGGCAAAGCTTAGACAAAGCCCCTTTTACAGATTAAGATGCTTTATATATATTAATTAAGCATGCAGAAAGAGTAATAAATAATCTATTAGCTCTTCTAGCCTTTATAATACTAATTAATAAGAATTAGATATATATAATAGTATTTATACTAATATTAGTAGCTGCTTATAAAGAAGAAAAAGTCTTTTACCTAAAGAAAGAGGCTAAGTATTAAGAAGCTCTTTAAAAGAAAGAAACTTAGAAAGAAAGATACTAAGACCTTAATAAAGGCACTAGCATTAAGATTAAGGCTCTAAAGAATTAACTCTAAAATAAAGAAGAGATTATTTAGAATCTTTATAATAAGATTATAGTAATACTAAAGCTACAAGTCTAAATAAAGTCTCCTTTAAAAACTCTAACAGAATAAGAATTGTTATCTTAAAAGTAAGTCTTATTAGAAGCAACTCTGAGCCCTTCTATAGTACTTAGTCTAAAGATAAAGAAGCTGTCTTACCTAGAGGTATTTAAGGATAAGCCTCTTTAGAAGTTTTACTCTTAATTATTAATTATAAAGATAAAGTTTATAATTAATATAACGCTTTTTCTAACAGAATTATCTAAGATTACCTATATATAGTTGTGTACTAGTAATAATACTTATAAATTATTTAGGTCTTACTTTAAAGACTGTAAAAGAGCCTAGATTTCAAATATCTTTATAGATATAACAAATTATTTTAACTCTCTATTTTAGTAAGAGACTACTTATAAGAAGTACTATTACTTATAATAAAGATAGCAGGACCTTGCTACCTTTTTAAAGAATTTCTAATAACTTTTTTGTAAAGCAGAGGTTTAAGAAAAGAATTAAATTATAGATCTTTAAGATAAGGTTTAAATTAATCTAAAGTAAGTAATTATTCTTTACAAATATATAATAACTTAGAAGATAATTACTAATTTAATATATACTAATATAAATAATTAATATATTGCCTTAAATAAATTAGTAGCTAGTATTAGTATATTAGTAAAGTCTTTAGTTCTTAGCATCTAATAATCTGTTAGCGAACCAATAGTAAAGAAGGAAAAGCTAGTGCTTAAGCTACAACTTTTACAAAATATATTTATAATAAGGTGCTATTCCTTAGGTATAAAAGTATTTAGAAAAAGAGTTATTTATTATTAAGATATTATAAATAAGCCTAGTAATATAACTAATAAAGAAGCTATAAAGATTCTTATTATAGTAATAAAAGGTAATTTTAAGGCTTTATTTCTAGTTAATATTAATATTAGAAACGAAAGAAAGAAATTAATAATAGATCGGAAGAGCGTCGTGTAGGATTAATTAAGTATAATTATAAATTAACATGATTTATAAGCGTCCTATATATATAAGTATCCTATATATCTTTCTTCTTTATTATAATCTTTTAACTATTATATATAATTATAATATAATAATATTATAAATTCTTAATCTTAAGAAGCCAGAATTCTCTTTGCTATCTAGGCTATATTTATATATACTAAGAAATATTAATCTAATGTACTGTAAAGACATATAATATCCCTTAAAGTACCCTCTATAATTAAATAAAGGGCTATACTCTAAAGGCTGAAGAACACAATGCCTAATATAATTTGACCCTAACTAAAGAAGAGACGCTTGTACGATATATCCTTAACCTAGACTTATAAGGATTCCTGCCCCAGATCAATCACGTACGAGATATAGCCGACCTTCTAAGTAAGACATGTTATGCGAAGCCCATTAGCAAGCAGTAGCTATACAACTTCATATAATGCTGCCCTAAGCTTAAGACGCGTTTTTTGTATGCGTATGACTTCTAGAGAGCCTTTTATAAAGACCCTAACTAGATAAATATATA